AAGTGAACATTCTGATTTCTGTTTAACATGATCCTTCCATGAAACTAACGTACTTACTTGCAAACAACAGTCATGATGCACTTAACGTACATAAATAATAATTATTTGTGTTTTTAGATTTACAATCTAATTATTAGATTTTCTAGTACCGTACTTTATGGTTTCTGTGTTCTACAAATTGTTCAGTGACTGTTGTGGAGAATGAAAGGCATATGCAACTTCTGTTCTGTTACGATTTGTCTTAGACAAATCGTAACAGAACAGAATCATTCTTGTTTGTAAATAAAGTTCTGATGCTCTTTATACGGCTACGAAAACTGCACTGCAATTGGTTCTGGAGTGAATGTAAAATATCAATAAATGTGATTCCTCTAATATCAAGAAATTTTTTTCTTGCACACCATTATTACAGACTCTCGCTATTACGGACACCAAACCACACTCCTGAGGGTGTCCGCAATAAGGGGAGGTGACTGTATAAATATGAGAAAACTGTCATCTTTCATTAAAATTTTATTTCCAGCCATGAACAAGTCCTGACCTTCTCCTAGGGCACTTTTCAAAAGTCAGAACTAGCTGGCCAGACTGGCCATTTTGGAGATGAAATGTTTGAAACGTTAGTCTTCTCTTTTAATATTTAGTAAAAGCCATTACTGTCATGCGTACTATTTAGGAAAAAAACTGATATGGCTGGATAGTCCTGAATTCTTCTTACAACTGGACCGACATAGCTAGCCAGTTCTGACAAAATGGTAAGTTTCCTTGACAGAGGTACCGGTATGTAAAAACAAGCAACACAAAATGTACACTTTGTTTTGTGAATTGCTGCAAAATGAGTTGAATAGGGATGTTGCGTGTTTTACCATCTACGAAAAAACACCTTGCAACCTTATTTATTTGTTGCAAGACTGTAGACAGGTTCAAACTAGCCTGTGTAGCAGGCATTCCATATGGAACGGGTATGGAATTTGGGCGCCCAAAATCCCCTTTCCCTTCCCATTCGAACGCCTGCCACACAGGCTAGTTTGAACATGCAACCTTGCTATTCAACTCAATTTGCAACATTTTTGAAAAACAAGTTGCACATTCCCTGTTGCCTGTTTTACTGTACATGTAGCTTTAGTCATGCAATTCTATGCTCTCTCCCAGAGAGAATCAGAACTGGACAGAATCAGACTGTTGCATGCTTACTTGTAAAGCAAGTAATCTTTCAGTGTGGATGGAATTGCCAAGCTTTTAACTTTATCACTGTAACCAGTGTGAATTGTATCCACAATAAAACATCTACAGATATCTTGTAAGGACCTTAGCCTGCATCTATACTCAAAAACCTTAATAATTTCTTTATCATCACACACCATTAACTGTCCTTTATGATTCAGATTCATTCCAACTTCCTTTCGTGAATCTTCTTCAGCAGGTTTTAAACCTGATACAATGAGTTGTGCATTGCTGCCTTCTGTTAACGACTCCAACAACACAATTTTCTCTCCCTCCGCAATAATCAGGTTTTGCCCATCATGGATAAATCCTCTCAAATTATCGATCTGATTCTCTTCTCCATCAAGCATATAATAACTAATTGTTGCTTC